GGGGGGGGGGGCAAAGGAACACTGGGGGATAACTGCTCTCTCTGATGTGTCGCAAATGATAGTTACCACTTAATGAGTGTTTACTTAACACCGCGCTAAGCATTGTGCATCTTCAGACGGATGAAGGCCGTCGTTTTATAGATGAAGAAACTGAGGCTCAGAGAAGTTTTGTGACTTGCTCAAGGTCATTTATACATGCCGGAGCTGGAATTTTAACCCCTGTTTAACTGAGTTGTGTGTGGTCTTCACCACTGTACCATATTGCCCCCCCCCCCCCTTTCTTTTCTTCTGTCTTAGGTCTCTAAGCCTTTGGGAGTAGCCTCGGAAGATGAGGTAAACATACCAGTCTCTTGCGTTGCATTTTTCTTTTGCCCGTTGCGTTTTCACTTTAAACTTGGCTCACCCATATTTCAACCTGTGGACCTTCCTGACCAAATGAGATTTGCCTTATTCCACCTGCTTGCTTTTAAAAATGTATTCTTTTGAGTGTTTGCAAATCTATAGTTTCTTTGCTTCCCTTGTATTTAGCATCCCCCATTCATGGGGCGTTATCTCCTGCTGAGTTCATTTCATCACGTCTCTCCTGGCAGTTGGTGGCCGAATTTCTCCAGGACCAGAATGCACCACTTGTATCCCGCGCCCCTCAGACTTTCAAGATGGATGATCTCCTGGCAGAGATGCAAGAGATTGAACAGTCAAACTTCCGCCAGGCACCCCAGAGAGGTGGGTCCAGAGTCTGGTGGGAGGGGAGTTCACCATTTTCCGTGCACAGAGGGCCAAGGGGGTTCCATATTTGGATGCTGCTGGCGTTGGGGAATTGAGATGCAGAAGGAGATAAAAGGGACAGAGTGTTTTCATGTGCACTGAGAGCTCCTTAGGCATGATAGAATGATACGTATTTCTTTTTTTTTTTTCTTAGTTCTCTCTCTTTCTTTTAAGCTCCTGGTGTGGCAGACTTGGCCTTGTCTGAGAACTGGGCCCAGGAGTTTCTTGCAGCTGGAGATGCTGTGGATGTAACTCAGGATTATAATGAGACTGACTGGTCCCAAGAATTCATCTCTGAAGTCACAGGTGAGGCTTGCATGGGGCAAAGTTCTCTTTGGTTCCCCAGTTCATCTTAGGATATAGAGCGATTTTAGCTTCTATGACTTTTCTGGATTCTTGACTCATTTCTCTAGGGCACTGAACCTCAGGTGATAATAGGGAATTGTTGAAACTTATATGAAGCAGGGGACTTGGTTTGAACTGGATAAGAGATTTTGGAGATTATATCTCTGCATCTCTGTATCTCTCTCTATTTAAAGAGAATGGGAGAGAGGACAGGGAGAGAGAACACGAGGGGTTAGGTACTTCTTTCTTATCTGGAACTTTATTACTGTAATTTGGTGGTGAGGATCCACAGATTGGATGAATGGCAGTATTGCCCAGGAAGAAATATTCAGCACAGCCAGCCTGTGGGATTCTGGCATTAAGTCATCTTGAAAAGAGTTGAGGCCTTGGAAAGTGGGATTGGGGAGTTCAAGGGCCTGAAGTACAGGGTCTTAGAGGGCAAAGACCATATCCTGATGATGATAATAAAAATTAATAGCTAATATTTACTTAAAATGTTCTGGATTTTGTATTAAGTGCTCTGAATGCATTATCTATTTAATTCCCATGAGAACTCCCGAGGCAGCTACTGTTTTTATTCCTAGCATATACATAAGAAAACAGAGGCTTTGGGATTAAGGGACTTGCCAAAGGTGATTCAGTTTTGTAGGTGGTGGAGTTGGGATTTGACTCTGGGTTTGAATGATTCCAGACCCTGTGGGCTTAACCATGGTGCTCTACTGGTGGGCCTGCACCCTAAGCTCTTCAGGGTCCCAGCCTGTTTCTTGCTCTTTGAGAGGGTCCATGCTCATTACGTCCCTCGGGATTGATTCCTCTCCCCCAGGCCTGTCTGAATAGGGGCATGGGGGAAGGGCATTCTCTTCAGCTTTCCTCTTCTTCTTTGCTGTCAAAGGGAAGTACTTGTTAGCCTTTTTCCAATTTAACAAATTAAGAATAAGAAGAGATACAAATGGACAAAGTTACAGAGATTATAGACTCTCAGGGCATTCACATTGTCATCGTTTTTAAATATTCCTGAGGTCACTAAAGGGACCTAATTGTTTTCTCCCTCCATCATTTTTATTCTTCTAAAAGTAGGGCTTTCTGTATTTAGGAAAAAACCCCCAAATCTAACAGTTAAAAGCTGTTGGCCTCTTTTAACATGACTCCCTTTCCTCCAACGCTGAAGTTGGAGTTTAAGGTAGAACAGTAGATGTTCTTTGTTTCTTGAATCATGCTTTGCACTTTATAATCTTAAAGTCATTTGGTCTTCACAGTTATACTTACAAGGTAGGTATTCCTTCCCTATTGTGTGGATAAAGAAACTGAGATTTCGAAAGGTTAAATACTTTATCCAAAGTCATTCAGTAACAGAGATGACATTCAGACTCCTATCTTTCTGACTCTAGGCTCCATACTTAGAGCCATTACACTATCATTGAGAATCTTCTTTGTGGAATTTCCTCAAGTGAAACTCTGAGCTGTAACAAAGGCACTCCCCCAGACCAACACTGTTTTTCATACAAACTGTAGACTTAAATGCTGTGTCTTATTGTAGAGAGACTTCTGTTGTAATGTGTGGGCGTCATTTTTGATAACTCAGAAAAAAAAATTATTGCTACCGAAAGCATTGAGATTGATGAGATTTCTGTTATAATTACCTTTAGAAAAACACGTTGGACTTGTCTCATTAAGTTCTCTTTGGGAGATCTCTTCTGTTTTTTCTGTTCTTTTGGGACTGTGCCTGCTTCATGGAGGCAGGGATAGGGAGGGAGAGCCGGAAAGGGAAGTTGAGCTGTTTGGGGCCTGCCTTCATAAAAATGTGCAATTGCATTAGTTATTGCTTTGTACGCAGTGGACCTTCAGTATTTATTGAACAAATGAATTGAGATCTGGGAGAAAGCTAAAGGAAATTAATTTTCTGGTCATTCATTTTTTATTATTCTCATAACATTTGTGGCTGATATTATTATATTGATGATATAGGTTACCTATTACTTTATGGATAAGTTGACTTCAAGATGAAAGGTTATATGCTTTAAATCCTTATTATTTTCAAACCCCTATTGTTAAGATTCCAGACCCAAGTTTACAAAGAACCTAGATGTGCATTTATTGTCTTGTCTTGTTCTATTTGAAAATAATTGATAGTTTCACTGGAAGTTGCAAAAAAGGTAGAAGAAGGTTCTGTGTATCTTTCATTCTGTTTTCCCTGGTGGTAATATTTTGCATGACCGTTTGTTATGTCCGACATCAAAATCGGGAAACTGCCATTGGTACAATCCACAGAGTGTATTAAATCTCACTGGTTTGACATGCCTTTGTGTGTGTGTGTTTATGGTTTTATGCGGTTTTATCACTTGTGTAGATTTGTGTAACTACCATCACAGTCGAGTTACAGAATTATTCCATTTGCCACATGAAGCTCATTTTTCAGTCTGCCATATTTCTTGATGGAATCCACACCCCGACCCCTGCCCCTAAATCTCCTGGGCCAAATAATTCCCCATCTTATGACTTGGCTGCAGGGATGAAGTACGTCTTTAAGGGGTTTTGAATTCAGGCAGCCTCAGCTAACCTGGTGTGTGAGGTTCCTATGGTAATTATGAGAGAGAGACCTGTGCTGTAGGCAAGCAGCAGTGGCAGACGATGAGTGGCAACAGATCTCCCCCTGTGGCAGAGGAACAGACTGTGGAATAAAAGGAGTAACGATCTCATCGTGATGTTTTCTGCTTTCCCTATGGGTTTGCTCCCTATGTGAACAGACAGTGATGTTAATAATAGAGAACATTTGTTACCCTGTGCCTTACGCATGCCTTATCTCGTTTGGTCTTTACAACCATCCCTATGAGGTAGTTGTTCTTATCTCTATTCGTAGATCTATTTATATCTGTTTATAGATAAGGAAATGGAAACTTAAGGGTTAAGTAACTTGCACAGTGAATAAGAGGTGGTGTTGGGATTTGAGTGCCTGGAGGCTGACTCTAGAACCTGCATTCTTTTTTTTTTTTTTTTTTTTTTTTTTTTTTTTTTTTTTTTTTTTTTAGGGAGAAACATAAAAATTTATTTAACAGGTGATAAAACTGAGGCATTGAAAGATTTAATAATTTATCCAATAAAATAGAGAATCGTAATTATAGAACCAGGGTAAGAACTGAGTCTTTCTGGGCTTTTATGGACAAAGTAGAACCTACATTCTTTACCACTGGGCTATTTAGCAAACTCAGGAATGTTTATGGATGAGGGTGGGAAGTTCTGAATTTTTGACTTTTGAGCTTGGGCTGGATGCGCCTAGGTGGAAGGAACACACAACGAGAAAGTAAGTAAGGTGAACATTCTGAATTGGATATTTGGTGTCAAGGTTGTTGGTTCTGACTCTACTGATTTACGTAAGCTAGGACAGTCCCTTCTCCTCTGCAGGCCTTAATTGCTCCAATCTCGAGTATCCAAATAGATCTGATTTTCTGTGAGAATTTCTCAAAAAATAGTGTGAAGGCCAAACAGAATTCTTCTGGTTCTTTCATTTTGACTCTGTTGGAGCAGGTTCACAATGCCAGAAAATTCTGAGTCTGATGGCTAAATATGGCCAAATACCAAATTACAGCTATTTGAGGATGACTTTTCTCATCCTGGGATTTTTTTTCTAATCTGCCTCATGTCTCTTAAAGTCCAGATGCTTTATATTTTTTCCGTTGCTTCTTGTCCTTGAAAGGAGCATTTCACAGAAAACAGCATTCTCTCTAATTTGAGGAGCATTTGTGGCCAGAGTATGCTTCTGGAAAACACTCTAGTTGAGAGTAAGGAGTGGCTGGAGAGTAAGAGGAGCGGTGGTTAATTTTCAACAGAATGGGACGAAGGGATCAGAAGGCACTGTAAAGTCTACTTTAGTATTATGTGTCTCCTTCTTAGGTCTCCACTTTTGGGCCAGCAGTCTATTGCCCGTAATAACTAGTGAGGGAATCTGGATAAAAATGTTGAGAGTCTTTGAAATTAAGGACAAAAAAAAAAAATGTCAACCATATCTTAATTTATTATATTAGTGATATTTATAGTTATGTGTATTTTGAGAGTCTGTATCCCCCTTTTTTTTCTCCTCCAGATTTTGACATTACTTTCCCACATGTTGAGCTTACTTTGTTGAAATTGTTCAGACAAAGGCTCAGTTAAATGGAGTAGACATTTAATACCAAAGGGATACATCTGCCTTCTGTGTTGAAAGCAATGACAGATCTCCAAACTGGGGACAAAGATAGCATGACCATTTCAGTACTGATGGTGGAGAAGTGTGGATGCAGGGCAGAAGGAAAGCACACTGCTGGCTAGTGCCTTGTCTGTGTTGACTCATTCTTTAGGGCCCCTTTGTTGTTGTTGTTTTTTTTTAAATATTTATTTTTGAGAGAGTGCAAGCGGGGGAGGGGCAGAGAGAGAGGGACAGAGCTTCTGAAGCCGGCTGTATGCGGATAGGCTGACAGCAGAGAGCCCGATGCAGGGCTTGAACTCATGAACTATGAGATCACGACCTGAGCTGCAGTCGGACATTCAACTGACTGAGCCACCCAGGTACCCCTCTTTAGGGCCCCTTTGAATAATGTCTTAGTGCTTTTTGTTTTGTTTTGTTTTTTTCATTTTCCCCCTGGCCCCAAAATAGTAAAGGACAAAGTCCTGGAGATTGAGAAAGAGTTCAGTGCCCTCGTTCAATCTGTTACCTTGCTAATCTTTACTATGATGTTGTGGCAGTGCCCTTTGTCACTAGAGCTTTTAAGACAGTTCCTAGAATTACACTTAAAAAAACATAGCCCTAAAATGAATCAAAAGTGAGGGGCACCAGGGTGACTCAGTCAGCTAAGCATCTGACTCTTGATTTAGGCTCAGATCATTATGATCTCATGGATCATGGGTTCGAGCCCTGCATTGAATCCCTCGCATGGGATTCTCTCTCTCCCTCTCTCTGCCCCTTCCCTGCTGCTCTCTCACTCTTCCTCAAAATAAATAAACCAAAAAGCAAATGAATCAAAAGTGACAAGTCAGAATGTTTCTTCTTGGGGGAGGGAGGGCCTGACGGAGCCTGTGAGAGGTCTGAAACGTTCTGTGTCTTGATGTGGCTGGTGGTGATTTGCGTGTATTCACGTGTGGAGTTAATGAAGCAGTATACTAACGCTTGGTACACTTTGTGTACATTCATGTTTGCATGTTGCATCTCAACTAAAAAAATGAAACCAACATCCAGTGGGAAGAGTGGCCCTAGGTATTTTTTAATTCTAGCCCAGCATTCTGCTTCTCAGGTTCTCCTGGTAGCTTTATTACAATGAAATACGAGGCTTCTTTTATTGGGAAAGCGTGAACTCTGTCGATGGAGACCAGACCAGAGGTCTTCTGCTCTCCTTTAGCTCCTTACCAGTTTCTTGCAGTGCCTTTGAGGAAGGTGGAGGCCCCAAGTGCCTGCTATTTCTTCCTGAGGCCTCTGGCACTTCAAGCAAAAGGGTTTGGACTCCTTTCCTGAGTCTCCTCATTTGTTTTCCTGTTTCCAATCCAGTAAACTTTGACCCCAGGCCCCTTGGGAGTGGGTTGGATATTGAGAGTTTAGTAGTGTTTTCTTTCGAGCAGGACTTTCTCAGGAATTCAGTAGGGTCTTATCTGCTTTGGCTTGGTTAAGAGGGTCAGTTGAATATGCGTGGTACTCTCCTTTTCCCTGACCCTCACTGAGCCCAGTGTGATTTCTCCAAATCCGTTCCTTGCAGATCCTTTGTCTGTGTCCCCAGCCCGCTGGGCTGAGGAATATCTGGAACAGTCCGAGGAGAAGTTGTGGCTGGGAGAGCCTGAAGGAACAGCTGCCACTGATCGCTGGTGAGTCCAGCTACTTCTTTCTGGATGGATCCCTGTGAAAGGAGCATTGGGTAGTTTTCTCAGCCTCCTTCACCTCCTACATCTGCATTCTCAAACTGATTTGCAGTCCCCTCATGTTTTCTTTTCTTTTCTTTTCTTTTCTTTTCTTTTCTTTT